TAGAAATAGTGGGTTAGACTGATAAGAAGTAGATAGAGATTTCGAGGGAGAGAGCATATCCGACGGAAGAAACAATGGTGGTGAGGTTGTTTGGATTTTTTTTTATAATGTTTTTGGTTTGCTTTTTTTTGCGTTTAATGACACGACAAAAATATTTCCATTTTATTGCAAGAAATGTTAAAATATTATTTTTTATTTAGGTCTAATAACACGTATTACTGACTGAACTCTTTGTTGACTACTAATTATCATAATTAAAAGAGAAAATATATTAGTGTCCTAATAGATAAGGTTTATATACCTTTACAGGAAAAAATATTATCCATGCCTTGTAGATTGTAATCTACATACAAGATGGATTAAAAGACGTGTGAATGCAAGAAATTTCGGAGATGTAAACTGCTCATTGGATCAAGATACAAAATTTTGGCCCATTGTATTCATTGGAGTACGGTACATGGACTAACTGAAAGTAATTAAGTGCAAGCTCTTCATCAGCTCATACTGTTTCTCTTGTACTACATATATACTACATATAGTTGTGATTTTTCTACCGCTACTTAATAGAGTCACATAATCATTTATAATAAAAAATGTATGTTCATCTAGAAGAATTCCTCCTTTCATGGTAATAAAGAGAGATTTATGAAGAAATTACAATGGTGAATTTTTGGATTCTCTCTCATCTCCTATAACTCACTTGAGATATGTGTTTCTTAAGATATGTAATTGGGATAATCCAAGCATATCATTAGTATATATAAAGCTGAAGATTAGTTACTGTTGCAAAAATTTTACATTTTAATACCCAAATTTATTTAAATTACAACTTAGTCACTAAATATACATTTTATGTTTTGATAATTCAAATTTAATTTTAATATTAAATTATTGAACAATTATGTTTTGGTATCTATATTTTATGAGATTTTCGTACCTAAATTTTTTTAAATTTACATATTGGTCCAATGTTTAGATTTCTTGAATCCATGAATCTAATTCACCAGTCCATGAATCCAGTCCACAATAACATAAAAGTACCACAAATTTAATTAAATTACAACTTAGTCAGTATAATGTATATTTTATATTTTGATACTCCAAATTTAATTTTTTGAACAATTATGTTTTGGTATCTAAATTCATGAGATTCACCTACAATTTCTTAAATTTTTAAAAAATTATGTTTTGGTATCTAAATTTATGAGATTCACCTATAATTTACATATTGGTACTATGTTTAGATTTCATTTAAATCCATCAATTCAATCCACCAATCCTTTTGAACCAATCAATTTATCCAATCCACAATAGCATAAAAGTACCCCAAATTTAATTAAATTACAACTTAGTAAGTTTAATGTATATTTTACATTTTGATACTCCAAATTTAATTTTTTGAACAATTATGTTTTGGTATCTAAATTTACGAGATTCACCTACAATTTCTTAAATTTTACATATTGGTCCTATGTTTAGATTTCATTTGAATTCATGAATCCAATCCACCAATCCTTTTGACCATTTTATATTTGCTCATTATGTGAAACATCAAATAAATTATAAAAGCTAAGAGAAATGACTCTAAAATATTGCAAGAGCGAATTTATAAACTCATTTAGTACATTTATGAGAGAACAAACTCATTTATGTACATAAACAAGTGTCAATAAATTGCTACGATGAAAAGGGTTGATTGTTGTATTGACAGTCAACTAAAAGAATTGGTCAAAACATTTACATCATATACTTCATCTTTGTTTCATTTTCACTTGCCTTCCATAACCCTTTCTTTATTTCTTTCTTTGCCTTCTTCGTCTAACCCTAATTAGTATATTATTTTTATGTATTCTAATCACAAGTATGGACAGTTCCATACAAGACTCACCAACAGTCTAGAGAACTAATAATTGAACCATGAACCACTAACTTTTTAAGCTTAATATCTAGTGCAATTAAAAATAAATATGTATGGTTAGTACTTATTAGAAAGTCATCATTTTCACTATGGGATTTGAAGGCGTGAAATTTTAAGCGAGTTCTAGTGTGTGTTCCTTTTGCTTCTCTCTAGAATTTTTCTTTTTTTACTCGGACTAGAATGTTTATAATACATGGAATATTTGGCTAAGTATCTACACATATCAAATAAATAGTTTTCATTTTCTATAAAAAAAAGTAAATAATTATCATCTTAAATACATCAGCATAAAAGGAATTAAGTCTCAACTATGCAAATTACAGTTATGTACATTAACTTAATAGATCTTTAGATTTATAACCTAATTTATTTTTTGCATAAGTCCTCAAAATATTGATGGAATATTACATTTAAGTACCTAAAAATTTTGTGTATTACATTGTGCGACCTAAACTTTTGAAGTTCTACAAATAAGTCTAATTTTTGTCTATATATATAACTAAAACACCCTCGAAGAAATGGGTATCCATACCCAACTCATACACATTTAGATTACGGAAGTACATATCCATACCATACCCTAACCAAACTCATGTACGAACTTCCAAACCCATATATACGTCACTCATATCCTACCCATAATCAATGGGTCGACTTGGGTATATATAAATATCATTTATTAGCCAAAATTTTCCAAAAAAAAAAAAATTAATTGGATGTTGACCGCCATATATATATTTTCAGTCAATATCATATTGTCAAGTCAATAATACTAACTAAATTGCTAACAAAAAATTAATTCTAGGCTAATAATACAAACAAAATACCATAACAGACCACATAATACATGTCATAGGCCATCTCCGCCCGCGACAAGACGCAGCATCACCACCTAGTATTATTTACAGGTGGTGGCATGGAGGAAATGACCAAAATTCTTACTCAATTTCGTTTAAGTTTATCTCTACCATTCATCATAAAATAGTTACAATCGGAAGACAGCGGTGAGAGGAATTATTAGAATAAGAAAACTCATCATCATAACAAAATTAAATATATACATATATATTCCTATTATAAAATATTACAGATGAGAGTAAAAGTTGAATAACCACAAACCAAACCAAGAACAGCAATAATAAAGCCGCATTGTATTAATAGTTTCATAGAGCTAAATGGGGTTATATAGATCGTGAAAGATCTGGAAAAAATCTCAAGTTACACATGTTTTGAAAAAAAATTCTCAAAATACACATGTTATGAAAATAATGACCAATCTACGCATGTATTTCTTTTCAGCATATCTTCGGTGTACTTCTCCTGTGAAATAAATATTTCTCCAGGTGACTGCTTCACTTGGATCCCAAGAAAATATTTCATGACTCCCAAGTCCGTCATCTCGAATTCTTTTATCATGGTACTTTTGAATTCTTCGATCATATGTTGATTTGTACCTGTGTAAATCAAGTCATCAACATACAAACAAACCATTAGAAAATCTTTTCTTTCTCCCTTTTTGATGTAGAGAGATGCTTCACTCGGACTTCTTTGAAATTCTTTTTGATGAAAATATCGATCAATTCTACTGTTCCAGGCTCTCGGTGCTTGCTTCAGCCCGTATAAAGCCTTTCGGAGACGATAAACCTTGTCTTCTTCTCCTTTTTTCTCATAGCCTTGTGGTTGTTCCACATAGACTTCTTCTTCCAGTTCTCCATTTAGAAATGCTGATTTGACATCTAGCTGGTATACTGGTAACTCCAGTTGAGTAGCTAGAGCGAGAACTGTTGTGATGGTCTCCATCCTCGCTATTGATGCTATGTCTCGTGAAAATCAATACCGGGTTGTTGTGAATAGCATTTTGCCACCAGTCGAGCTTTGTACTTCTCGATAGAACCATCTTCATTGAATTTGATTTTATAGATCTATTTGAGACCTATAACCGGCTTGTCCTCCGGTTGATCAACAAGCTCCCATGTCTTGTTTTTCTCGATCATAGAAATTTCTGCATCCGTTGCCTCATTCCAAACTTCTTCTTTGACTGCTTCTTCAAAGACTTGAGGCTCACAAGAAAAATATGCAACATGACTTGTTTCATAAAATTCTCGCAAAAACCTTGTTCTCAACGGAGGTGAATCCGAGTCTGTTACGCCGTCTCTAAAGTCGTCTTCTTCTGGGCTAAGTGCAGAATTTCTTTCTGGACTTGCAACTGGATCTGGGTTGTTGCTGGGATCTTCTGGAATTGCTGAATCCTCTAGAATTTCATAACTTGGTGGAGATTGAGAAATTGGATTTTCCCAATTCCACTCCGCCATCTCATCAAAGATCACATCTCGGGAAACCACCACCTCGTTCTTTACTGGGTTGTAAAGACGATAGCCTTTGGATTCATCACTTTAGCCGGTGAAGATCAGCTTCTCTCCCTTCTGGTCAAACTTGTCTCGGTTTGGAGTAGATATATGTGCATAAGCTATGCAACCAAAGACTTTGAGGTGATCCACCTGTGGCCTCCTGTGGTGCCACACATGTATCGGTGTATTGTTCCGAACTACTTTGGTTGGTGATCTGTTGAGGATGTAAATTGTTGTATTGACCGCTTCTGCCTACAAGTTGTTGGGAAGCTTCTTTGCTTTGAGCATACTTCTCGCCATCTCCACAATCGTACGGTTTTTCGTTCTGCCACGCCATTTTGTTGTGGTGTGTAACGAATCGTCAGCTGCCTTTTGATTTCGTTGTTGCGGCAATACTCCATGAACGGAGTATAAATAAATTCTCCTCCAAAATCTGTTCGGAGGGTTTTGTTTTGATGGCCGCTTTCCTTCTCAGCTACTGCTTGGAATTGAAGGAACTTGGGAAAAGCTTCTGACTTTTGCTCTAGAAAGAATACCCACATCATTCTGGTGAAGTCATCTACAAATAGTAGAAAGTATCTTTTGCCGCTGAGTGATTGTGTTCGGGTTGGACCGCATATGTCTGCATGTACCAACTCCAGTGGCGCTTTTGCTCTCCAAGATGTCTTTGGAAATGGTAAACGATGCATTTTGCCATATATGCATCCTTCATAGATCTTGTCTTCTCTGTTGATCTAGGGAAGTCCCGCCACCATATTTTTCTGCCTCGACAATTTGAGGCCTTTGAAGTTGAGATGACCGTATCTGAGATGCCATAGGAAGGATTGATCAAGATTTTCACTCTTGAATGCTACTTCACCATTTTGTGACATAGCAAGAGAGAAAATTCTGTTGGAAGTCATCAGAAATTTAACCACCATGAAATTGCCAGTTTTGTTGATACTCTCGCACACGCCATTATCAAACAATAGCTTGTAATTTTTCAGCATCAGTTGTCCCACGCTAAGTAGATTGAGAGTTAGCTCCGAAACATACAAAAAATCTCGAATGAGAGTGTTGTTGCCTTCTTCTGTGCATACAACAACTGTGCCTTTTCCTTCCACTTTTAGCTTCTTTCCGTCTCCCAATTTGACTTGAGAGCGATATTGGTCATCGATATCGGCGAAGGACTCCACATCTCCATTCATGTGGTTACTACAACCACTATCCACCATCCAGGGAAGCTGTAATTTTTGCTCACCATTCAAACATGATAAGACCACCATATTACTTTCTTCATTTTTGGTGCCGCTTGACTCGCCTTCTTCTTGCTTGTTCTGGAACCAGCAATCTCTCTGGGAGTGGTTTTGAATTTTGCACTTGTATCTGCAGTCTTTTGTTGCATGACCCGCCTTTTTGCAAATTATGCAACTCGAGCCAGTGTAGCCCAATTTTTGCTGTTGATAATTTTGCCTTTTGTTTCCACTGTAATTGGATCTTCCTCTTCCTCTCCATTGTGAGTTTCCCCCTCTCCGGCCTTGCTCCGATTTTGCATATTTACTTTCCGTCATGTTGACTTTTGACGAGAAAGCTTGCTCCAATGGCGGTTTGGTGAATCGGCTCATTCTTTGCTCATGTGCTACAAGTGAGCCCATCAACTCGCTCATTGACAGATTTGCCAAATCTTTGGTTTCCTCTATGACAGCAACAATGTGTTCAAACTTCGATGATAGGCTCCGGAGAATTCTCTCCACGACCTTCCTTTCTTCCATGACGTCACCAGTGGCTTTGATCTGGTTGACTGTCTCCGTAACACGCGAGTGGAAGTCTTTGATGGTGTCAGTTTCCTTCATCATCAAGTTGTCGAACTGGAGCCATAAACTTTGTCGCCTGATGGAGATCGCCTTTTCAGAACCTTGAACTTGTTCACGCAAGACATCCCAAGCTTCTTTGGCCTTTTTTATGCCATAGATTCTGGGGTAAATTGATTTGCTCACTGCTTGCTGAATGATTCTCAAGGCACTGGCATTTTGCTTGGCATTCTCCTTGTACTCCTTTGTCTGCTTGCCTGATCGTTTCTTCGAGTCTTCATCATCTTCCTGTGGACTTTCATAGCCGTCTTGGACTATATCCCACAGATCTTGAGAGATGAAAATTGGCTCCATTTGGCACTCCAGTACTCGTACAATTCTCATGGATTTGCCATTCTAAAACAAGCTATTTTCTCTGGCATAATATATATTATGCTATTATTTTATATCTTAGTGGCTAAAATATAATGTATTTTAAAGTTATTCAATGGTTCAACCTCGACCAACCCAATTAGTCCAATTTTTATCATTTCAAATATATATTATGTAATTATTTGATATCATAGTGATTAAATTATAGTGTAAAATTTAGGGAATCGTTTGGTATTTGATAGTAAAAAACTAAACAGAAAGATCTATTTGGTTATTTTTAACATTAAAGCGATCCTATACATTTTCAGTTTCCGTTCAAAATTCTATAGTTTTATTCCCGAATCGGTGATGTGCAAATGGCGAATTGCACTCATCTCTTTTCTTTCATTATTTTTTATTTTCAAATAGAAAGTTTAAAAGTAAAGAATAATTAGAGTTTGGCATGGGTCGGTCAAACATGATGAATTTCAAGTTTTGGCCCGTTTTGATCAAGTCTAATTTATAATCACATGGTTCCCTGATACCCGATAAAAATCTCAATCCAAACCAGTTTGGCAGGTGAGTCCGTGTTTACCACCATTTTCTAGGGATACAGGAACGGTGGTTCCTATCCCAAATCGTGTTGTTCATTCTTGATTTCTTTAGATTTTATCATGGGTTGGCAAAAAACCAGAAAGCACAATGATGACAAGATGAAAGTTTTATAAAGCAAATTAATCGGCCAACAGGCCGAGTAAAAACTATCAACGATTGTGAGATGCTCATTTCCAGAAAATCGGCGGGATAGGCAATTTTTCATTCGATTTTCTGGAATTCGGTTCTATAAAACTCACTCCACCTCATCATATTACCAGAAACAATATTGTTTCACAAGGTAACGGGTACATGATTTTGGTTCATAAGGCTGATATTTGATTCGTTGCATAATTTATGTATCTTTCCTACTAAAATTCACTATTTTATCACGTGTTTCTAAAAAAAAAACTATACAGCAATAAGTTATACACCCCATTACATTATCAAATTTCATACCTCACATTCCTCCGGCCAAATTGGCCGGGGCCACGCTAGTTGTTTCATAGAGCGGAATGGGCTTATATAGATCGTGAAAGATCTACCCATCACTATTGCATAACTGAGTGTGGAACTAAACACACGCAATGTCGCAGCAAGCAAAACCACAGGTAAAATTATTCAACATTTATTTTATTGTAACTAAATGGCGATCATGCATGCCAGAGGGTTTTCCTTAAAATAGTATAAGGCATGGGAGCTCGTAGATGCTACGAAACCCTCGAATACTTTATTATCCGAGTCACCTCGGATAGATATGTAACTTACTAATTTAAGGATAGAGTTCAATGAGGACTCGCAGGCCACAAACTGGGGTAATGGTGTAACTGGCGAATCCAGCTTCAGAGAAGAGCTTGGCGAACTGTGGTTCGGTTCTTACCTTTCCCTCAACAGTCATCATAATTACCATGTCAAGATACAAGAGTGTTCCAGTCGCTTCGCGATCGCTGCAGCTCTGGTGCCCTGCCACCATTTCTACTATCATCACCTTTCCCCCACTGTTGCTGCTCGTCACCGCTTCCTTGGCTTGCTTCAGTATCTTCACACATGATTCGTCGCTCCAGTCGCACAGTACCCACTACATGCATGTACATTTTTTTGAATAATTAGCATTCAATTTAACATTTCACAAGCTCCCCAAAACTACATGCATTGAAAGGTGAACCAAAAAAAAAAAAAAAACTCTCCGTGTCACTTCGTGTGTTGTGAGAGGGTGCATCATAAGACTTGCTAGAACTTACCTTGAGGAAGACGGCATCAGCGGGAGGAATCTCTTGAAACACGTCACCAGCCGGAGAGACCACCTGGGCGAGATCGAAGACGATGCAGTGAATCCCCGGGAAGGCCTCCGCGAGGTCCTCGGAAATCGTGCCCGTGTGGCCGGCCACGTCCACGATCGACTCGAGACCCTGGAAGTGGGACCCACACTTGGCCAGCAGGGCCTTGCTGAACAGCCAGATGTCTCTTCCGATCCCTTCGTTCATCATCTTCGCGATCCGCGGGACATCCCTGCACACCTCGTACAGCTTCTTCCCTTTGTGAGCATGGGTGAACGGGAAATCTCCGGCGACGGAGGCAGCGGGGGGTTGACGAATCCAAGCGCCGAAAGAGCGCCACGGGTCCACGGCGATCGGGTCGTTGGCTAGGAGGAACCATGTTGCGGCGTTGAAAGGGCTGTCTTTGACCAGAAACCCGCACATCAGCGTTGCGGAGTAGCTCGTGGCTGTTTCATCATCGCCGTCTTTCAGATTCTCCACGAAGTAGCCCATGTGGGCCAGCATCCGCATGAGGCGGGCGAGGAAAGGGGTTCTCGCCGGTGCTATTTTCAGGGCCGAACCCAGCTCGCCGACGGTGATGGGCTTGCCGTGGCTCTGGACCACGCTTGGGATGTCCAGTTCCATAGCGGACTGAACAGCCATGGTTTTGATGTAGGCGAAGGAGTGATCCCAAACTTGCCGTTGAGCCTCCAGGAGCTGAATTGCTGTTTCCGAATCCATCGATGGAAACTATATATTTACTACTTGTTGTTATCGCACCTCTTTCTTTTTCGAGCTTCTTAGCTTATCAGATGGATGTAAATGTAATAGTACTTGTAGTGCTTTATTGGCTTCACTATTTATAGAGACCGATAGACCTATTTTGGGACAAAAAAAACTATCTATTAGAATTTTATTATGCATTGTGGTACGTTTTGGTATGTACATCAGATTATACCCCTCTATGAAAGTGTGTATCATGCAGCTGGTATGAATCCATAAGAGTGTAAAATGGTTGCATACATGATATTATTAACCACCATTTACCACCTTTTATGTAAGGGTGGCAGAACGGTTTTCGGTTAGCAGTTAACCGGTCGGTTTCAACCAAATCGAATGGTTTTCGGCTAACCGAAAAACCGTATAATGTGGCAGCGGTCGGTTGGCGGAAGAGATGGGAAGGGGTTCGGCTAGCCGACTAACCGGGGTCCGAAACCGGCTAACCGACCCCCTTCCCTTTCCCCAAAACGGGCCGTTTTATCCACCCCCCTAACCCCACGACTTCGACCTTGCTCCCCCCCCCCAACTCCTTCGACCTCGCCCCCTTCCCCCTTCTCGCGCAGCCGCGCAGTCGACGCAGAGAAACCCCCCTCCGGCCTGCCGCCTCCACCTCGTCGCCCCACCGCCTCCCTCTCATCTCCCCTCCACCAGCCACAAGACCACCCTCGTTGACTTCGATTCGTCGACCCTCCACCAGCATCAACCGGGCAACAACCCCGCCGCCTCCACCCTCATCGCCCTGCCGCCTCCACCATCGTCGGCGTTGACCCTCCACCTGCCAGGCACAGGCAACAACTCCGCCGCCTCCAACAGGCACTCTCGCCGCCGCCTGTTTCTTCAGGGCTGCTCGTCGGCCGGCACAGTCGACGCAGAGAAACCCCCCTCCGCCCTGCCGCCTCCACCTCCACCTCGTCTTGCCTCGCCGCCTCCACCTCGTCGCCCCACCGCCTCCCTCTCATCTCCCCTCCACCAGCCACAAGACCACCCTCGTCGACTTCGATTCGTCGACCCTCCACCAGCAGCAACCGGGAAACAACCCCGCCGCCTCCACCCTCATCGCCCTGCCGCCTCCACCATCGTCGGCGTTGACCCTCCACCAGCCAGGGACAGGCAACAACTCCGCCGCCTCCAACAGCCACTCTCGCCGCCGCCTATTTCTTCTGGGCTGCTCGTCGGCCATCGCCCTCCCAACGTGTCCAAGAAGAAGAAGATTCCCGCTCCGACTGCTCGTCAGAATTTCTTGGCGGAGAGAAGACCCAAAACAATTCATCCCCAAATTCAAGTTTACAAAGCCCAAAACAATTCATCCCCAAATCAACAATAAACACCCAGCAAAAGCATCAATCAAACAGGGGAAGGACAAAAATTTCAACATTGAGGAATCTAGAAAAAAGAGATGGGAGGATTTTGGTACATGCAAGAGGGAGTCGTTGAGCAGCGAGCAGCTCGCCGCCTCTGTTCTCCAAGGAGAAGGCTTCTTCTGATCTCCCCTACTCTTTTCCTTCGGTTCAAATGCTGGTGAGGAAATGAGTGGTGGAGAATTTTTGTTTTTTTAATTTAATTTTTAATTTTTGTTTTTTTTTTAGAAAATGTAGTTTTCGGTTGGCCGGCTAACCGAGCCTAAAACCGAAATCGATCGGTCGGTTGGCCGTCTAACCGTGACCTCTCCCACGGTCGGTGGTCGGCAGGTGTACATGGGCGCTGGGCCGTGCTTGGGCCGGCACGGCACGGGCACGCTTCGGGCCCATTTATTTCGTGCCGTGCTTGGCACGGGCCGTCAGTTTTAGTGTCGTGCCATGCAAGCCCATTTGTTAACTTTGCTAGGCCCGGCCCGCGCCCAGGCACGGTTCGAATCGTGCCGTGCCTATTCGTGCTCGTGTCATGCTCGTATTCGTGTTTAATGAAAAGGACGAAAAAAGAGAGAATGAAAAGGAAGGTGAAAATTAGACGGAGGAACATAGTATTAACCGATAATGTTTGAGAAAAGTAACAAATAAGGGGGAAAAGAAAATTGGAAGTATAGCGAGTATGATTTGGCTTTGTTTAATTCTTTGTCCATTTTTACTTATGTTAGTAATTACGTATATATCTTTATGTCACTTTTAACAACAACAAATAATAATTTTTCTACTTGTGTTTTGTAATATTTGAACCTACAATTCTTTTTATATTTATTTTCTATCAAATAAATATACTTTTCGTACCATGTCTGTGCTTATACTCAATAAAGTCTCGAAAATATTAGGCCCAACACGGCCCACTTATATACCGTGTCGTGCCCGTGCCCATGAAGTTTAGGCCCGACACGCCCTATAAGTTATTCGTGCTCGTGTCGTGCTCTAACCGTGTCGTGTCGTGCTAGCCCGTGGGCGACATGGCCCGCTGCCCACGTACAACGGCAAGTATAGGGGGTGGCTCGGTTTAACCGATAACTAGGTTTTCGGTTTTCGGTTAAACCGAAACCGACCGACTGCCACCCCTACTTTTATGAACGTAAAGAACCATTTACCACCCGTCCTAGGGTGGTATAGGATGGTGCTTTTTGTCTTAGAAATGGTTCCACATAAATTTCTAGAGATCTAATTCATCAAAACGTATTCGTTCCTTCTGTGCGAATTTTTCAAAATTCGAGTTAAAAAAAAGCTGGTATCAAGTGATATCATATGTTACTAGGGTGGTAACAAGTCGTATGGGTGATATGAATTTTTTTCACGAAATATATTAAAAATTGTTATCATTGTGTATATTACAATGAAACTGTTTCATGTGTGTAAACTTTTTTTGAAATCTCAGTACCACCCCGTACTAGGGTGGTATAGGATGGTACTTTTTGTCTTAGAAATGGTTCCACATAAATTTGTAGAGATCTAATACATCAAAACGCATTCGTTCCTTCTGTGCGAATTTTTCAAAATTCGAGTTAAAAAATGCTGGTATGAAGTGATATCATACGTTACCGGGGTGGTAACAAGTCGTATGGGTGATATGAATTTTTTTCACAAAATATATTAAAAATTGGTATCATTGTGTATATTACAATGAAACTGTTTCATGTGTGTAATTTTTTTTTGAAATCTCAATTAAAACAAAGAATATAAAAATCGATTAAAAAGGTAAAAAAAAAAAAAAAAAACCTAAAGAACTATTAATGATTCTTATCTCTTAGATCTAACCCACTTAAAACTAAAAATTTCAGATCTGTTTATGCACATTATCTGCATCCATGAACACGTAGTGTTTCTAAAGATGATTCATCCGGCAACAAATTATTTCTAAAGATGAACATTTGAATCAAGACAAACAACCAACGAACACTCACAACCACCATATGAATACGTACTACTGTTTCTACTTTCTAGAATAAATAAAGACAAACAACCAAAAGAGAGAAAACAACAAATTGCTGGGAATAGGAGCTACAAAATGAATACATATTTTTCTAAAAATGGTAAATCTGACAGCAACTTATTTGGGTATTTTACATTTTGTTACTAAAGATCAAATATCTGACAGCAACTTGTTTGGGATGGTTTTAATTTATTGGGTTTTTTCAGCATGGAGACTCCCATGCTACTCAGAGATCAAATCTAAAGATTGAGTGACGTTATTGGATTTTTTCGGCATTCAAAATCCGATACTCTCTCCTTAATTTAAAATATAGTATTACCTTTTCAAAAAAAAAAAAAAATAGTATAACCTTGTTATACCTTTTTTTTTTTAAATTTTGGCAGGAAGTTATACCCTTTTATAATTAACAAAAAATGCTATTAATATGTGCTAACACTAATGCTCTGTTTGGCAACAAGGGGTGCAAATTGCAGGGGGTGCAAGTTGATGGGTAAATTGTTTAGGGGTGCAAATTGCTGGGGGTGTAAGTGGAGGGGTAAATTGTTGTTTGGATGAAAAAGTAGGGGGGTGCAAATAGAGTGAAAAGTAAGTAATTATATTATTTTAAAGTAAATTTTAAAATTTTAAAATAGATTTTAAGATTTTAAAATTTTAAAATATTATCATAAAATAATAAAATAAATATTACTATATAATAATAAATATACTTTACTAAAAATATTTATTATATAATAATGCTCAAATAATAATTAATTATAACAATTGTAATCATTGATCGAGCGATCTCAAAACTCGAAGCTCAACTCGTAACTGATCATCCTATATAGGGTTTTCGTGTCTAGTTTAATCTTAAATTGTCAAACTTAGTCAAACACGTTCGAATTTGTAAGTTTTAACTATTTAGTCAAATAAACTGAATTAACCAAACAATTTCTCTCTATCTTTTCCACAAACACCTCGTATCTCTAATTTTCAATGCAAATTCGATTCAACCAAGAGATCTAGATTTGACTTGACGAACATTGATAAACTTGTTTCCAGAGTCAAATGGTCAACCCCGAATAATGTTTACATTAATGATATTTATTAAAAAAATAAATTGATAATATTAATTATTATATAATTATATATAACACAATTAGAAAAATAAAATTCCATAATTCCCCCCTCCCCCTCTCTTCCTTCCTTCCCTTGTACCCCAATTCGGGGGTAAGCCGAAACAGTAAATTTGCACTCCCGTTTTGCACCCCTATTGTTCCAAATTAACCAAACAGGTACAAATGTGTTGAAAACTGTGTTTACCCCTCACATTTGCACCCTCCTCACATTTACCCCTCTTCTCAACAGAGTGTTAATCTATCATTACCCTATATCCTCACCCATTCATCGGTATTGGGCGATGCTTGAGCCGTCTACCATGCATGCTAGTAGTAATCTTGTATACAAGTTTCACGAGAACTTTGATGGAGATCATCATACATAATGAAAAATTATTTATTGGGTTTGTATATGTTCTCGGAGAGAAAATTTGTAATAATTTTAATCCGTAATTGAAAATCATTCTACGCAGAAAAATTAGATTAATAATTTTCTTCAAAATGATATGAATTTTGATATATTGTGAAGAAAAAAATAGTTAATTTTTCTAGACGTATTTCTTCAATTTCTCATTACGACAAAGTACACAGCCATCATTAGAGATCTTGCCCTACATCTTCAATTTTTTCCCGAGTCATTAATTAATCTGTCTTTATAACCAGCCAACTAATGGTACTATGTCTAGGAACACTATACTGGCCCAAAACCAATGCATACCAGGGAACTTTAGAAGCCGGGGTTCTCAAATCATTCCATATCATTTTCACTGATTAATAGACTTTTCATCCAATATAAATCTATGCTACCCACCAGGATTCGATAGCGGATCTGGTGACTAAGGGGGGTGCTTAGTCACTTGGCTAAGCCCCCCTCAGCCATTGGATCCTTATTAATTGATCTAATGGTGAAAATAAGGGAAGGGATGATTAAATAATGAGAGGGGCAATTTTGGGATTATGAAAATTTTATTTAATTATTTTTTTTCCTCCAGCCTGTCTTCTTCTGCGTAGCACCGCCGCCCATGAGAGAGAAGCGCTGCAGCGGGGAAGAACGCCGACGATGATGGAAGAGAGGGCGGCGACGACGACAATGGAGATCTCCACGGTGCCGGCGACGACGAAGAGAGGGAAAGGAGAACGAACGTGACAGAGGCGGCAGCTTTGAAGAGAGAGAAACCAGATCTCGTCGTCGTCGGGAAACCAGAGGAGAGAGAGAGACGATGGTGGAGGATAGAGAGGCGGCGGAGAGAGAGTGTCGGCGACAATGGAGGAGAGAGAGGCAGCGCGACGATGGAGAGAGAGAGAGGTGGCGACGACAGTAGAGAGAGTCGGCGGCGGCGGCAGCGGCGGTGGAGAGACATTGTATACGTCGTCTGAAGGAAGAACGGTTTGTATAGTTTGTATGTTTTGTAACATTAGTTTGTATTGTTAGTATTTTTGTACAAAATGTCAGTATGATTTGTATAGTTTGTATGTTTTGTAATATTAATTTGTATACTTTATATGTATTGATTTGTGCTGCAAATCACGTCGCTTTGTATTGTAAGTACTAATAATTTGTATATTTTATATGTATTGATTTGTGATGCAAAAAACATTACAAACATGGTTGACAAAAATGACAAACATGTGGACAAAAATAACAAACATTACAAACAATACAAAAGAAACCAACAAACATTACAAACATTACAAAAGAAACCGACAAACAGTACAAAGCATACTACACGTACAGAATATCACTACTTACAATACAGATTGGTAAACTTGTATTACAAACAAATGAATACAAAGTATACAAATCATAACATAAAAGTATACAAACTTGAATAACAAAAGTTACAAATTACAATATATACAAAATAATCATACAAACATTACAAACAATACAAAAGAAACCAACAAACATTACAAACAAACATTACAAACATTACAAACTTGTATTACAAACAAATGAATACAAAGTATACAAATCATAACATAAAAATACTCTCTCTCTTGCTGGGGAAAAATCCCCTGGAAAATGGCTCTCTCTCTCTTTCTCTCTCCTGCTGGGGAAAAATCCCCAGGAAAATGGCAATCCCACCCCCCCCCGAAACTCTCTGTTGGGAGATAATCCCCCTCTGGTGGGAATAAAAATCCCAGGGAGAGGACCACGCCGCCGGATCGCGTTGGCGCGCCGCCGGACTCGTGCTGCCGTCGCCGAACTCGTGCTGCCACCGCCGGACTCGTGCTGCCGTCGTCGGACTCGCGCTGCCGTCGGCGGAAATTCCCAAAAAGGATCGCGACGGGAGGGTGGAGCAACAGTTGAAAATTGTTTATTATTTTTAATTTTTAAATAAATAAAATGTGTAGTTACAATCTTGTCCTTCATTAAAGTAGATAAATTAGAACCATCAGATTTTAATGAGGCTGGATGGTTGAGATTGGCTTAGTCATGTGACTAAGGGGACCCCCCTTAGTCACCTGATCTTATCCCCTAGGATTCTCTTTTAATCAAAACATTCCAGACATGTCTAGTGCAAGCAAGGTTCTATATTCTATTTCTAAGACATTTCATCCCCAAACCCCCTTCCTGCTTTGGTTTAGGTAAATTGTCCCATGCTACCACAACAAGTTTTCGTGCAGAGTTTTCACCTATTCCCCATAGAAACGGTCTACATAAAATCAATTTTTCCTTAATCACTTTCAGAGGTAAAAAGAATATGCTCATATCAGAGAAAAATTCAAAATTTTCATCCGCCACTTCAACGGCTAACAACGGAATTAGCTGGTCCGATGTCGTTTCGGGCAAAGCAAAGAAAGAGCCACCTGGAACGATGCCGTCTCAACTAAAGGGTTCGAAGATGGTCGAAACGTCGTCGTAGCTGGCAACCAAGACTGAAGAAGATCAAGACGTCGTCATTGTGCCCTGAAGCCACAACGTCTCTTTCATTTGCTCAGCTTGTGTTCCCTCCTTGCTCTGCATTTTCGTACTTCTTCCCTATCATTTTACAGCTAGACCTCTTTACCTGTAATGCACAAACTATGTATATAAGATCAAACAGAATCAATGAGAAGACAAGTTTAGGGTTTTCAAAGAATACATGTTGTTATGGTATCAGAGCAACCCTAGTCGCCGCTATACAATGGCAACAATACAAACACCAGATCCCATCGCAGATCCTTTCTATCTCCATGGTTCTGAGCAACCTGGACTTCTTCTGGTAGGTGAGAAGCTGACTACCACCAATTACAATGACTGGAGCAAGGCGATGCTCAATGCTCTGGCCTCCAAGAATAAGCTTGGCTTTATCAATGGCACCATCCCTTCCCCTGACCCCACTGATGCTGTGTTCTCATCTTGGAGTCGAAATAACATCATGGTCCTCAGCTGGATTCAACAGGTTGTTGACCATGGTATCAAGAAAACTATTATGCCTTCCAAGCTCGCATTAGAAGCATGGAATAGCCTCAAGGCTCGTTATGGTCAAGGTGACATGATCCGCGTTGATGAGCTGATTGAGTCCATTGGCACGCTGAAAAAAGGTAACCAAACTGTGACTGAATATTATGGAAATCTTATTGCTCTCCAAGATGAGCTTGACAACTATCAACCCATCAATCCTTGTCGTTGCACAGCTACTAGTTCTGCTGATTGTGCTGCTATGAATGCTGTTATTGGCTATCATGATGTCAACTCTGTTATCCAGTTTCTTCGAGGTCTCAATGATAATTATGTCACTATCCGTTCCCAAGTGTTATTTGGAGACACTCTCCCTCCAATTGATAGGGTTTTTCAGAGGGCTTTGCAACATAAACGCCAACTCTATGGCACTCAACAAGGCAAAACTATAACTGGTGAAAGTTTAGCCTTTACTGCTCAGGGTCCCAAACGCCCTTTCACTTCTTTCAAACGTCCCCATTGCACCTTCTGCAACACTCCAGGCCACATTGAAGAAACATGTTATCACAAACACGGTTGGCCACCAGGCCTGTCATCAAGAGGTTCTTCTATGAACTCAAACCCATCAACCAAACCCCCAGAATGCACATTTTGATTGGGAATGCTGAAGATAAATGCTTAAAGAAGCATGGTTACCCCCATCCTCTCAAGCCAAACACCTTCCACCCGCCCCAGAATAATTATCAATGTCACTGACAGTGGCCCTTCTTCAAATTCCCAACTTGAATTCAAGCTTACCAAGACTGATTATGACAGGCTGATGGCTCTTATGACTGAAAATCTCAAGGGCAAACAGTCTTAATCTTCTGCAGACTTGACCACACATTATGAGCCTGAATCTTCAGGTAACCATTCTTGCTACCTTCTGAACAATAGCATTTCTGCTACTCCATGGATTCTTGACACAGGGGCAATTGACCACATAGTCAGTTCACTCACTTTCTTGCATACATTCAAAAAGGTGGATCATATTTACATAAAGTTACCTATTAGAGATAGAGTTCATGGCACTCACATTGCCCAAGTACATTGCCTCAATGGTTTGATCCTTGAGGATGCCTTAATTGTTCCAAAATTTACCTTCAATCTTATCTCAGTAAGCAAGTTAACCACCACCAGACCTCTGTGCTTAACCTTCTCTTCTGACTCTTGCACAATACATTACCTGTAGCTGAAGAGAGTGACTGGTTCTGCTAAGCTTTTCCATGGCCTTTTCCATATCAACCTAAACCTAGCTAGCATCCCTAACCACATCATAGCTGCTATTAGTTCACCTTCTCTAGACATTTGGCATTTCAGACTTGGCCATGTTTCCCACATTCGAATTCCTCCATTGAATCAACTTTGTACATCCATAGAAACCAACAGCAGCCTACCTTGTGATGTTTGTGATTTTGCCAAACAAAAGAGGCTTCCTTTTCCTTCAAGTTCAACTGTAACTATACACTGTTTCCAACTTATTCATGTTGATATTTGGGGCCCCTATTCTTATCCTACTTATGATGGTTTTAAGTACTTCTTAACCATTGTATATAAGCATTCCAGGATGACTTGGATCATCCTCCTCTCCTCAAAGGGTGATACCAGAACAGCAAAACAGGCATCACACATGAAATGTCTTGTGTGGAAATTCCACAACAAAACAGCAAAGTTGAACGTAAACACCAACATTATCTAGCTATTGCTAGGGCCCTCAAATTCCAAGCCAATCTACCAATTGGTTTATGGGGCGATTGTGTTAAACACGCAGTGTTTCTAATCAATCGAGTCTCCACCCTAGTCCTAGCCAATCTTACACCATTACAAAAATTATACAACAAGCCACCTGCCCAACAAGATTTGAAAGTCTTTGGCTGCCTCTATTATGCCTCCACTCTCAAAAATCACATAACCAAATTCCAATAGAGATCCTGAAAATGTGTCTTCCTAGGCTATCCTTCAGGCATAAAAGGCTATAGACTGTATGACCTACATTCAAATGAGACATTCATTTCCAGAGATGTCCAGTTTTATGAAACTAAATATCCTTTTCAATCATCACCTACCAATCCCTCAGACCATCCCATCACCCCACCACCTCCCTATCCCATTCAACCTAGTCCTGACCCTGATGGTCCACCTACCACTACTCCATCCCAACCCCCCACTATAACACCATCAACTCCCTCTCCTACTGTCATTCCCAATCCTTCCCCACCTCCTTCAACACAAACTAACCTTCCCATTGCAATCGGGAAGCAACCTAGAACCATCAAACCACCCACCAAATTACAACACTGCCATTGCAACTTGCTTCTACAGCTTTCTTCCTCTAGTCACTCTCTGCAGCAACAGGTCTTAGGTATCACCTACCCCCTCTCGAATGTTCTGGTTTATACTTCTCTTTCTCCTCACCACTTGAGATATATTCTAAAAATTTATTGTCACAAAGAACCAGAGACATATGAGGAGGCAGCCCTCGGACCTGAGTGGAACCAGGCAATCAATCATGAGATTGATGCTCTTGAAAGGAACCAAATAGGGGATGTGGTTTCTCTTCCCCCACAGAGAAAATCAATGGGAAACAAATGGATATTCAAATACAAAGGCCAAATTGGTTGCTAAGGGATACAATCAACATGAGGGGATAGACTACCAAGATACATTTGCTTCTGTTGTCTAAATGACACTAGTGAGATTGTTTCTGGCTATTGCACCATCAAGGTCTTGGCATGTTCACCAACTTGATGTGAACAATGACTTCCTTCATGGAGACCTCACATAGGAAGTCTAGATGAAGCTTCCCAAAGGCTACAAGCCACCACCAAACATTCCCAACCCTGTTTGCAGACTCAAAAAGTCACTTTATGGCCTAAAACAGGCCTCAAGACCGTGGTTTGCTAAGTTGGCAGATTGCCTCATTCAACAAGGATTTGTGCCTAGTCAGGTTGATCATTTGCTTTTTTTCAAAATCAATGGATGCTTCATACACATGTGTGCTGGTTTATGTTGATGATCTTTTAGTTGGAGGCAATGACTTGGCAGAAATCACAAAATTAAAGCAGGTTCTTCATCAGACTTTCAGTATCAAAGACATGGGTCAACTCAAATTTTTTCTAGGCATTGAAGTTGCCAGAAATTCATCAGGGATACATTTATCACGGAGGAAATACACACAATAGATCTTAGAAGAAGCAGAAGTTTTATTATCCAAGCCTGTTTCTACTCCCATGGATTACAAACTACATCTATCCTCCAATCATTCTGACCCCTACCCAGATCCTTCATTCTACAGAAGATTGGTTGGAAAGCTAATCTATCTGACTACTGACACTCCAAAACACAACACCTAACAATGGCCAAGTGTAACCAATGGAAGGGACTGCAGTATAGTGGCTCAAGTGATAAATATCGAATCCACGGGTCTCTAGAGTTACTATTACTCAGCTTCAGTTTATTATTTAGCAAACCAAATTAAGATGAAAGAACTAAAACTACTCTAGCAAACTACAGTTAAAGTTAATCTAATTACAGGTTGGGAACTCACTTAGGTATGATTCCCCCTAGCCACTAGCCAGACTAACGATTGATGATTTCCAACTTGTTTCACTTTCATTCACAATGCGGAGAATCCTTGAGTAGACCTTGAGTCTCGACTAAAGGAACAAGGCCCTCTTGAGTCAATTGCCTAGAGGGACGTATCCTTCTCTAGAACAACTGATCAAGGCGTTCTGAACTAGACTACCTCTATCGAAAGAGGTTCTCAATCGATACAAAGCAGTGAATCAACCCTCGACTAAAGCAATCGATCCACTACTATCAATCTATGGTGCTCTATTGACCTAATCAGGTATTCCCTCTCATAGAATCAAAGCAGAATCAATAATCTCGACTAAAGCAGAATTGAATCATGAAAACATGCATAGATTGAATATGAACTCAAGATTATCCAGTCAGAGTACTCATACAATCATCCAATCAAACAAACATAGCTAGGGTTCCTCAAAACCTAAGTGAAGGGAAGTTACTCCATAGAGAAGAGAGAGACTGCAGTAAGAATCTTCAGATGATCAGTCTTCAAGTCCGGGCTTGTTCCTCGAGCTTCCAAGGCGAAGAAATCCTCCAACTCCACTCCAAGAATGCCCTCAAATCGCCCTCTCTCTCTTTGGTTCGTCCCTTGGGTGTTTGGGATCCAAAACCCAGCTCTCCTCCTCCTTTGGCTCGAATTTGGGTTAAAAACAGCCATTCCCGACTCGCACGGCCAGGGTGCACGGCCAGGGTGCACGGCCGTGCACATCACCATTCTGGCCGTGCACCTCAAAACGCGGCGTATCAATTAGTTGAACCTCAGCCAACTCGCACGGCCAAACTGGTCACTTGCACGGCCGTGCGTGGCCACGCACAATCCCGTGCGTGCCACGCACGATCCCGCACGGCCAAACTGGTCAATTGCACGGCCGTGCGGGTTGTGGGTGTGCCCGTGCGACTTCCTCAGAACCTCGCCATGCGTCTGATCCTCGTCCAATCGACCCCAGACTCGCTCCTAAGCCTTCATTCACGTCCTAGGACCTGAAATATCACAAACAAGCACAACCTACCGTGAAATCGGCCTAAAACACGAGAATCAACACCTCAAACGGTGTAAGAATGGGGGTAAAAACATGTGTAAATGACGGTCTATCAACTACCACACGCCCTGATATCAGCTTTACTACACAACAAGTGGCCCAGTACATGTCCAATCCCAACAATCAACATTATCAAGCACTCACAAGGATTTTGAGGTACCTTAAATATGCTCCATCAACTGGACTCTTCTTTCAGTGACTCTGACTGGGCCTCGTGTATGGACACCAGAAGATCAGTCACTGGATACTGTGTCTATCTTGGAAATACATTGATCTCCAAGCGCAACAAGAAGCAGAAAACAATCTCTAGGTCTTCTTGCGAGGCTGAATACAGGGCCGTGGCAGATACCACCTGCGAACTTCAGTCTCTCCTTTATCTTCTTCATGATTTCCAGGTCAATCACCAACAACCATCAATCCTGTACTACGACAATCAATCCGCAGTTCACATCACAGAGAATCCAACATTTCACGAAAGAACAAAGCACATATAACTGGATTGTCACTTGGTAGGAAAAAAATTGCAGAGTGGAATCATCAAGCTGCTCCATGTCTCCTCTCTACATCAATTGGCCAACATCTTCACCAAGGATCTACCTCCTGCCATCTTCTCCAATCTCCTCTCCAAGCTTATCGTGCAAAATCTCTGCCCACCAGCTTGCTGGGGGGGGGGGGGGTATCAGAGTAAAATCAAAATTTTCATCCGTCACTTCAACGACTAATAACGGAATTAGCTGGTCCGATGTCGTTTCGGGCAAAGCAAAGAAAGAGCCACCTGGAACGGTGTCATCTCAACTAAAGGGTTCGAAGATGGTCGAAACATTGTCGTAGCTGGAAACCAAGACTGAAGAAGATCAAGACGTCGTCGTTGTGCCCTGAAGCCACAACGTCTCTTTCGTTTGCTCAGCTTGTGTTCCCTCTTTGCTCTGCATTTTCGTACTTCTTCCCTGTCATTTTACAGCTAGAACTCTTTGTCTAGTAATGCACAAAATATGTATATAAGATCAAACAGAATCAATGAGAAGACAAGTTTAGGGTTTCCAAAGCATACCTGTTGTTAGCTTATCCAGTACTACTGCATCATACTCGAAATGACAGAGTTTATGAGTTGAAGTTTACCTGTGTAACTCAACACCTTAGGTCTCCAGTCTCTCAATCTTACAGTTATCCTTTCCACTAAAACTTCACAATCTGCATTTGTGAGCTTGCACGCTACGAGAGGCACTCAAAGATAACATACAAGCAAATAAGCTCTCCGGAATCTATTAATAGTAGCCAGTCTTTCATGCAGCTCTTCGATCATACCCGCAGAAAGTATTTGGCTTTTCTCAGGGTTGAATATGAGCCTAGATAAGAGATAAAATTCTTTAAGTAAACTGCACACCTCCTGCATTGCAATCTCTTTTCATAAGTGAACACTAACAGATCATCCGCGAAAACTAGGTGTGTGATTCCCAATTGCTTGCATCTTGGATGTAGTGGAAAGAACACTCTTTTGCAGCCTTCTTTAATGTACAAGATGGTACCTCCATAGTTACAAAAAACAAAAAAGAGGACATGGGGTCGTTATGCCTCAAACCTTTTCTAGCAAGGAAATAGCCACACTAAGCATGGGTGTACTTTAACAAGCCTTAGTCCAACCAAGAAACTGAGTAGGAATACCCTATTGGCTATTACCTTCATTATAGTAAGAATCAAAGGTTCATCAATTATATTTTAAGGGTACACCTAAGTGAAAATACTGCTCCTACCATATCTATTCACTAATTCTAAAGCCATGAGAATATTATCAGTAATAACCTTCTCTGGCACAAAAGACGACTGACTTTTCTCTATCAAACTGGCCATGACCTTAGATATAGGTCGGAAAAGCTTCATTTTGGTATGCATTTGGTACATTAGGGATAAGAGCTAGTATGGTAGAATTAATCCCTTAGGCATGTGTCATGATTCAAAGAAAGAGAGTATTGCAGCAGTGACATCATTTCCTACAACATTCCAGTGTGCCTTATAAGAATTGACAAAGCACCCATCAATATTAAGGGCTTTGTTGGGTTTCATGCTAAACATTTGTTTCTTAACTTCTTTTACTGATTACCCTGCTACATATTATAGAGACCTGAGTTTCAGAAAGATGATGCAATAATGAAGCCTCATTTCTGTAACAGAACTTTATACCACTTCAAGATTGACTTGACCAAGCACCTTCTGATAAAATCCAACAGCCACTCTTCCCATTTCTTCTATACTAGTTACTAGAGAACCATACTCTCTTTTCATATGTGTGATGGTATCTCTATGGGCTTTAACTTTTAGCATTTTATGGAAGTACTTAGTATTAAGGTCCTCTAGCTTCTGAGATAGCTTGAACTCTAGCTTTTTTCCCGAGGAATGATTCTTCTGCTAGCGGCAAATTGGCACACTCATTGGCCAAGTTGTCTTTATTAACCAATGCTTCACTTAAAGGACAAGAAAATGCCTCATGTTGTGCTTGCTTCAAAGTTGCTTCTGATTTGCTAGCTCTCAATTAAATGTCATATTAGAATTCTCTGCTAAGTTCCTTCAACTGCTTCTTGAGTAACCTTATCTTTTGGCAAACTATGTAAAAAGGATAACCTACAACCTGAGTACTTCGAGCCGTCTGCAAAATCTCCTGAAAATTAGGGTGAGAGCTCCAGAATGTGAAATATCGAAAAGGTTTAGGTAGAGTTCTTCTAGCAGGAAAAGAATCCACCAGCAAGCCACCGTGATCAGACTCCACCATAGGGACTGTGGTAGTAGAAGCCATAGTTCCAACATATTTATCTAATCAAATCATTATTGATAAAAACTCTGTCAATTTTTCATGTTATGGGATTCCCTTCTTGATTATTCAACCATGTATATTTCTCGCCAGCCAGTCAATGTTCCACTAGTTGTATGTCATTAATCTAATTATTGAAATCTTCACCACTTCCTCCAGGGTTGGTCCATTTGAAGCTTCACTGGAGTCTAGAATAGCATTGAAATCTCCTAACACTATCCATCGTATATCAGAGGTCCTTTGACATCTCATCTGAACATATGTGTTTCGCCCGACAACATCATCATTGCATACACCACAATAAGAAAAAAAAGTTCTCCAAACCCTTCACTTCAAGATGTACAAAATTGTCAAATGTATTGAAAATAATAACATCCAACTTAGGTTTGTGCAGTACCAAGATCCTTCCTCCCAATGACTTTTCATAGTTATCAATTATCTACCAACATGAAAAATACTCCCTTTTGATACCTTCTTCTTTACTCTTTTTTACCCTGGTCTCTAGTATAGCCATTATGTCTATATTGTTCTTCTTGAGTACCTTGCTCACACACTTTTGCTAAGAGGATTGATTGATTCCCCTAATGTTCCATGACAATATTATCTTTGACACTTTGAAGCATGTCTTTCACCACCACCAATCTTTCTACCCTTTCACTTCCTTGCCAAAAGCTTATTTTTAGCAAAAGATGTCAAGGCATCCAGGATTGCATAGTCAACAAACAGAGAAACCTAGTTGTCTCCCCTCATGAGAAATGACCAAATTCTTCCCTTTAGCCAATTTAGCAGCAACACTTGGGCTGACACTTTTCCTCCCATGAACCAACTCCTGAAATTCTTCTCCACTTGGAAGTTGGAAGCTTATCCTGAATAGAGTCAGTATATTTGTCCATAGAGTTGTTTTCAACTGCTATCATATTCATTCCACTTCTCTCATCACTTCCTTAATATGTTAAGCAAGCATTGTTTCCACCACTTCCTCAACGGGTTTGTCTAAAATAGGTTCCTTCACTTGTGGGACCCATACTTTCTTCCATTTTTGTTCTACCTTACTACAATCGTGACCAAAATATTTACATTTCTTGCATAAAAGGGGCAATTTGTAGTACTCCACTTTAGCATAAAATCTTTCTCCTTCATTAGTCTCAAACCAAAGAGTGTTTCGATAGCTCGAGTCAACAGTACTCTAAAAAAAATAGAATATCCCATCTCGTCACCAGCTTTAGTCATTTGATCTGTGAAAATCGACTTCCCTATTAGACTCACAATCTTACTCAGACAGTTATGCGTTCCAGAGGCAAACAAGAGATTTTGACACAAACATGAATACAAGGTTTTCTAGGGGCTACATGAAGCAATCCTTTCTCCCATTTGCGCAAGAACATATTCTTGCCCCATAGGTGTTCCAAGGCCCCATGAACAAATGGCTTCATTGGAAAATTGAAAGATCAGCAGCTTATCTCCAAACTAAGAAACCCTAACTCTAGTATCCTACACCGCATTTGATTCACCCAATTGCTAATCAGTGACAGAGAAGGAGGAGTGGAAATAAATTGGCCTACCAGGCTATTAGTCCAACGCGTAGCTCCTCTTTCCAGAAATTCCTTAGCGAGTCGTAGAGAACCATTCACCATTTCTAGCTCCACGTAATGCAGACAACATCCTTCGTCAATGGTGAAGAGATCTGCCCAAGATTCGCCGCCCACTCCCAAAATGGAAGGCATGAGAATATATCAGAACCAAGAAAGAAAGAAAGAAAAATTCAAAATGACAACAACCTCTCGAAGGAAGAATCATTGATAGTAGGAGGGTAATCAGCGAAGGAAGAGCCTCGACGGTAGATAGACAACCGAGGTTGCTAATGGCAAACCGCCATAAGAACAGAGCAGAACCAAGAAAGAAAGAAAAATTCAAAATGACAACAGCCTCTCGAAGGAAGAATCATTAATTAATTAATTCATTATAGCATCTCTTACATTAGGTTAACCCAATTCGTTGTTCAATGCCCGCCGCTCCCGCTCTAGCTCGACAAAACTCGATTTCCTTATAATTAGTTTACAATTCGCGATTTACAAAGTTTCAGAGAGCGAATTGGTTTCAGAAATACGCGTACCATTTAAATTCAGAGAAAACTTCTTTAATTCTATGGCTTAATTAATTTGGGATTCCAAAAATTATTTGGCATAAGATGTCATTGTTAGATGCCATTCGCTTCTTTGACCTATCTATTTTGTCAAATCAAGCAAATCCAGAAAGATAATGCAAAGAAGAAGATAAGTCGGAAGGAAAGAAAGATGCAGAGCATATTGTAGGCGATGGATGAAGTGGTCGATGACTTGCAACTGTTAGGAACAGAACAACAAAAGGAACGAGGTTACCGAATCTGGAGCTGAGTCGCGGACTAGGTCGCTTTCTTTAAGACGTTCGCGGCACTGCCTTCGATGCGCACGGCAGACTATCAACCGGTCGTCTCCAGGATAAAACAGCTCCTCTCAATACTCGCGGTTTTGTGCGAAAACCGAAGCTCTTTAAACACTCTCTCTATTGTGTTTCTGCTCGTTGTGATGTCTTTAGAGGGGCTGGGGAGGCGGCTATTTATAGGAGCCGAACCCCTAGGAATATACCCTCTTGCTTGGGGAATAAGTCGGATTAATTAAGGAAGATAATTACTTCCTTAATTAAAACCGTCGGTTAAGATAAACCCGGAGGGATTATCCTTCGAATATTCCGTTTTAGTCGATTATCCTTAGGAATATACCTCAGAATAACATATTAATAATTAATTATTAAATAATTAATTTCGTTCGGAATTTCTCCAAAAATATATATATAGTCTCAAGTGAACCAACCAAGTGAACCAACCAACCAACCAACCGACCGACCGGCCGGTCGGTCGGACGGCGCGCGCGCGCGCGTGTGTGGTGGTCCATTAGGTCCTCCCTCTCCCACAAAAGTGGGTCACCCCAAGGGGCATGCCCTTGGGAGAGAGGCTCCTATCTTTATACACATTTCACCAAGTAAAACTACCAATGTGGTAGTTTTTTCCACTAGAGACTCTATAGCTTTCAAAGCTATTTATATACATTCATTTCCAACAATCCCCCACTTGAATAGTTTTGAAACTATCTCTGAGCATCAACAGTTCCATAAGATCGGGCATAAGCTAAGGTATCGCGAAGATTTGAACCTTAGCGTAGTGGTTACACTTCCGATTTCATAAGGGTGACTCGTAGTCTTGAACCCTATCTCAGACAGTGTAGCACACCGGATCTTTTCATTGAGTTGTGTTCTCTTCATAGCCCGTGCGTTTATGGCCATGCACGTTACCCTGGTTTAGTGAACGCTCTAGCAACTTTGTGCCTCCTAAGTTCCATAGGGAGCGGCCCCACTCCCACATTCACATAGGTGAGTCTATCAAGAGTACCCCCAAAGTAAAGTACTCCACCCCACATAGGGTATAGATCTCATTAAGAGTTATTAACTCAACCTCCATTGCTTTGGGATTCATGCTTCACTATGCATGAACTTTTCGCATACTACTCATGACTTGTTATTACCCATTGAACCCATTTCTTGGGATCTCCAGTCTATTGGGTCGGGTTACCATCACTTGTAGTCCGTGGTTCGGTAGGCATAAGTCCCATACCCTTGGCGGTATTCTGGACTTTCTCTCTAGGTAATCCTTTCGTCAAAGGATCAGCTAGATTCTGTTCGGATCTTATATGATCCACCCTCACTGCTCCTATCGTTAGGAGTTCTCTTACAGTACTGTGCTTACGACGAATCTGTCGTTTCTTTCCGTTATAGAACCGGTTCTCAACTTTAGCGATAGCTGCGGTACTATCACAATGGATCAATACCGGAGGGACCGGTCTTTCCCATAGGGGAATCTCTGACAACAATCCTCTCAACCAACTTGCTTCTTCACTAGCCGTTGCTAGTGCTATCATCTCTGATTCCATAGTTGATTGAGCTAGGATTGTTTGTTTCTTTGACTTCCAAGACACAGCTCCACCAGCGATGTTGAAAACATACCCGCTGGTTGCCTTGGAGTCATCTGATAGGGTATTCCAATCCCATCACTATACCCTTCTAGTACAGCAGGAAACCTTTGATAATGTATACCAAGGTTTGCTGTTCTCTTGAGGTATCTCATGACCCTCTCTATAGCATTCCAATGCTCTCTACTAGGACAGTTGTTAAACCTGCCAAGCAATCCCACGACATATGCAATGTCTGGTCGAGTGTAATCCGCAGCATAACGGAGACTGCCAATGATGCTAGCATATTCTGATTGTCTTACACTGTCTCCAGTGTTCTTAAATAGCTTTACACTAGCATCATACGGAGTACACGCAGGTTTACAGTCGAAATAGTTATACTTCTTCAAGATCTTCTCTATGTAGCTAGATTGATCTAGAGAATAACCATTTGCTGTTCTAGTTATCTGGATTCCAAGCATAAACTTTGCTTCTCCCAGATCTTTCACTTCAAAGCTCTCTTTTAACATGGCTTTTGCTTCATTGACCACGTGAATATTTGTACCAAATATCAACATGTCATCTACATACAAACATATGATAGTACAAGTGTTATTTTCTGACTTGCAGTAAATACACTTGTCACTTTCATTCACCTTAAAGCCATGTGAGAGAACGAGAGTGTCAAACTTCTCATGCCACTGTTTTGGAGCCTGTTTCAAACCATATAATGATTTGTCTAACTTACAGACTTTCGAGGCATGTTCGGGGATAACAAACCCTTCTGGTTGTTCCATATAGATTTCTTCATCTAGATCACCGTTCAAAAAAGCGGTCTTAACATCCATTTGGTGTACCACGAGATTGTTCAAGGCAGCAAGAGCAATCATAACACGAATGGATGTTATTCTAGATACTGGTGAATAGGTATCGAAGAAATCTATATTCTCTCTCTGCCTGTAGCCCTTAACTACTAGGCGAGCTCGGAACCTTTCGATTGCACCATCAGGTTTCCGTTTCGTTTTTAGAACCCATTTATTACCTAAGACTTTGCAGCCAGGAGGTAAGTCTGTTAGATGCCAAGTCTTATTAGCTTCTAACGATTCCATTTCATCTATAACGGCCTCATTCCAAAAATCTGCATCTACGGAAGTTAATGCTTCCTGCAAACTTTTTGGATCTTCGAGGGTGAATACTGTAGTAAAGTCATCACCAAAATCTTTAGAGATTCTAGCTCTTTTACTTCTTCTGAGTTCATCCTCAGAACCAACACCCCCACTAGTTCCGTTATCTCTAATAGCGGGTAGTACATTCCCCCCACTATTTCTCGTTTTAAATGGAAATCGTGTCTCAAAGAAATCAGCATCAATGGATTCTATTATAGTACGAGCATTCAAATCATAGAATCTATATGCCTTACTATTGGCCGCATAGCCAACGAAGACACATTCATATGCTCGACTAGCCAATTTAATCCTCTTAGGATCCGGAATTCTTACGTAGGCCAAACAGCCCCA